CATCCCTCGCCCCACTGCAGCGCCTGCGCCAGGCCCGGGCTAGAAGGGGGGGGTGTGGCCGGGGCAGAGCCCGGTGAAGGAGCATAGACCCGGGGTTCCCGCTGGGGCCCAGCTGCTGAGCTCCCCCGCAGTCCATCCGCTTACCGCAGTGCTTCTGAAAGGCTTGAGGCTTGACCACTTGGCTGCAGTGGTTACACACCACCAGGTAGAACTCGTCATGGGCGGGGCAGTGCCCAAAGATAGACATGTCTGCCAGGGCGAGAGACAGAGCCGTGAGGGGGAGGCCACGACGGGCCTTGTGGCCTTGGGAGGCTGCGGCTGCCCAGGCCCAGGGAAGCCCGTGTCCCGTGCCCAGGGCCAATGGAAGTCCCGTCCCTCTCCAAGGGTGAGCAGGGGGCTCCAGCTCAGCGCCGCTGCCACCCAACGGCACCAAGCCAGAGCGGGGCCCCTCCTGGCAGTTCCAGCAGGAGCCCAGGGTCAGCTGGGCCATGGAGGCCGACTGCCCACTCAGCCGTGGTGCTGGCCCCCCAGGGCCTCGCCGGGAACGCCAAAGCGTTCAGCCGGGACAGCCTGCAGCCCTGCCCCGCCCCGAGAGCGGCTGGGCCAACGCCACTCACTTAGGCCACACACACGCTGGGTTTCCGGGGCCCTGCCTGCTGTCACGCTGAGGGGATTACAGAGCCCTGGGCAGGAGCCTCCCGCCCACCAAGCAGGGGCAGAGTGGGGCAGCCTGGCTGGAGATGTGGGGGGCCCAGAGGAGCCGCCAGCCCCCACAGGCCGCCTTGGGCTCCCGGCCAGCCCTGCAGAGCTCCGCAGCGGGCAGTGAGGCCACAGAGACGCACAGCCTGGGAGCATGGTACCCTGCCTCTGCACCATCCACTTCCCCCCGCCCTCTGTCTCAAAGGGGACGGGGCATGGCCAAGGGGGCTGATGTGACTAGGCCGGGGCAGAGCCTCTCCTCCGAGGGGTCAGGCCTGTGAGAACAGCCCAGGCCAAGCCAAGCGACGCCGACAGCCTCAGCCACAAAGTTACCTGCTGATGTTACCAAATCCACAGCTGCTCCTGTGCTAGCCAGCCCCCCCCACTAACGGAGACCCAGAGCCGGGCTGGGGCCAAAGGAACAGGTTATTGAGGGAGCGGGACGTGCTCTTACCTTCCTTAATGAGGGTCATCGCATCCAGTTTCTTGCTCCCATTCTTAGTGCTCTCCTCCACCTCGGCCCCTGCTAGAGACAATCAGCCCCATCAGCAGCGCCAAGAGCCCCCAACCCAGATGCCACCCAGAACCACCAGGGCCTGCTCCCCACCGGCTGACGGGCTGAGAGTGGAGGAGAGCGGACTGAAGAGCCCTAAGAATCAGCCAGGAACAAGGTGCAGGGCCTGGGTCTCAGGGAATCTGTCCCCAGGACCTTCCCTTAGCCTCCCTGAGTCAAGCAGGACATCAAAGAGCCCTCGATGGGCTATTCGCCACATGGCAGGCGGGGGTGCAGCCCTGGGCAAAGGGATCTGTGTCTGGGTCTGCAAAGGGCCGATAGCGCAGCCCCCTTCCCTGCAAAGCACCACACCCGCCCGCGAGGATCCTGCAGGACTCCGGGTTTGTCTACACAGCCAACGCTACTCCCGAGTAACAGGAGTTCAAAGGGCAGTCTATTGCGGAACAGCTTCCTTTGGGGACACTTTTCCCAGCTTTTCCCTCCATTCCCAGGGCCCTGCTGGCCATCTCGGCAGAAACGTCCAGCCAAACACGTCCAGCCAGGGTGGCAGGATATCCGGGTCACGCATCTGTCCCAGCACTGCTCCTCACAGCACATGCGGAGAGCCCCGAGCTCCGGGGCTGCCCCCACGTCCCTGGGACACCATCCCCCAGCCAAGAGGATCTGCAGAGGGTGGGGGCAACCAGCTGACTCCACACACATTTTCCTTTCCTTGAGCTCAGCGATCCGCAGACCAGTGTGACCGTGCACCCCGCTCCCTGCATAGCGCAGCCTGGGGAGCTGCCCTGAACAATCCTTCCAGCAGATCATGGAAAGGCAGATCTGCCTGGTATCACTCCCAGCTCCATCCCCGCACACAGAAGGGCAGGGAGAGGGTCAGAGGGGAGACATCTCCTGGAGCACAAGAGCATCCCACCCCCTCTACTCCTGTCCTGGTCCCATGATCCCCTGGGGTTGTGCCAGGGCTGCTACACTGCACACGCAATGGGGTGCACGGTGCCTACACGCCAGCTCCAGGATTCCAAACAGCCTGGTGCCACCCGAGCGCCACCTGCAAACAGGGGGGCTGGGTGGGTATTCCGGGTGGGGAAGGAGCCGTGGCTCATTGAAGTGCTTTAGGTGCACAAAGAGAATCGGTTGCAGGGGCAGATTCCGGAGCGGATGCGACTCCAAATGGGGCGTCGTGCAGTTAAAGCACCAGCCTGGGACACAGGAGATCTGGGTCACGCTTCTGCTCCCCACTGTGTATTTCTGAGCAAGTCACTTCATCTCCCCACGTGAGAGGGGCGGATGGTTCTTCCATGCCCCCAGCCTTTGTCTAGCTGGGCTAGAGCAGCTACAAGCTGTGCCCATGCAGCCCCAGCGCAAGGGGTCCTGAGCGTGGCCAGCTTTGGGCCTCTGCGTGACCCTGTCCCCCACGCTGTGCCCGTCTCTCGACCATTCACCCAGGCACCCCTGTAGAATGCAACTCAGCAAGCCCCACGGGAAACGGGGCACGGAGAGGCTCATCCGCCCACCATCCTGCAAGAGCACAGCCAGGGCCAGACGTCCCGACTCCCAGGGCCTTGCTTTCATCGCTCTGACTGCTCCCGCTGCAGCCGATAGCCGGACACCCCCGCCTGCACGTGCAGGGCAGGACACAAGCGGTAAGAGGTTGCTGTGTAACGCCGTTGGCGGAGTCCAAACACGGACCACCTCTCACAAGCCATCGGGCAGTAAGGAGCTGATGCCCACTCGCCCTTCTCCTGGCGCTGTCATTTCTTTGGGCGTTAAACCCAACTGATGCTTTTTAAAGAGTAGATTTGAAAAGGATTCTAGAAATTATAGCCCGGTAGGGACACAAGCGGTAAGAGGTTGCTGTGTAACGCCGTTGGCGGAGTCCAAACACGGACCACCTCTCACAAGCCATCGGGCAGTAAGGAGCTGATGCCCACTCGCCCTTCTCCTGGCGCTGTCATTTCTTTGGGCGTTAAACCCAACTGATGCTTTTTAAAGAGTAGATTTGAAAAGGATTCTAGAAATTATAGCCCGGTAGGGCAAATGGGGGGGGGGGGGGGGGGGGACCCAAAAGGCTCCCAACAACAGTCAGCCTCGGAGAGGGGAATCTCTGCATTTTTATGAAGCAACAACTTGAAAAAAGCTGCCTGGATGTGAAATGCCACAGTGTGAGATAGTTCAGGCCAGGGAGATTTCTGGGAAGAGACTCAGATAAAAACTAAACTAGGCTTTCGCCAGCCCCCATCGCTGGACCATTTTCAATCTACAAGCAAAAAACATAGCCCTCGGCAACAGCGTGAACTTGTCTGTAAAGGGAATTTTCCTCACAGCCCGGCTATAAATCCCTGAAAACACAGGAGTCATTATGCAAACTCCGCCAGAGCCGGAGCCCTAAGTAGATCAGGAAGCACGATGCTCTAACTACATCAAGAGCAAGGGAAAGATAATGGAGGGGGAAGGGACTGTAAGAAGCGTCAGTCACCAGGGACAGCTCCACAGGCCTCTGCTCCCCCACTTCCAGGGCAGCACAGGAGCAAACAGATGACCCCCCCCCCCCCCATGACTTCTAGAATTTCAAGGACAAAAGTCTCCAGAGACAGCTCCACCCCCGGGGAAAGAGGGCAGGCGGGGGAGTGAGGGGCGCAGGCACCGGGGGAGTGAAAAGCAGCATGGGAGGCAAGAGGGCTCAGGGATGGAGGAGCAAGCAGGACCACCAGCCAGATGCAGAGGTGCAGGCTCAGGCCACAGGAAGGTGCCCAGCTGGGTAAGGCTTAGGGATCAGTTGAGGGGAATACGCTCAAGTCCAAGGGGAAGTTCAGGTCTGACGGGGAAGCTGGTGGAGACGAGGATCCAAGGAGCGTAAAGTAAGACTCGGGGTGGGGGCGGGAGAGCTGTTTCAGGGGATATCGTATTGGGGGTTCACAGGCTGTGGATAATGGGGTGTGTAGGAAAAAGTTGGGTGCATGGAACTGGGGCCAGAGGAAAAAGGGGGAGCTGATTCAGGGGCCATGGAGCACAGAGAAGCAGCAGATTCAGGGATTCACAGGAGAAGTTCAGGGGGCACAAGGCACGGGTTCCAGGGGCAGCCAGGAAGCAGAGGGCAGAGCCCAGGGGATCAGGGTGCCTGGGGGGGTGGGTCAGAGCCCAGGAGATCAGGGTGCCGGGGGAGAAGGGCCAGAGCCCAGGAGATCAGGGTGCCGGGGGAGAAGGGCCAGAGCCCAGGAGATCAGGGTGCCGGGGGAGAAGGGCCAGAGCCCAGGAGATCAGGGTGCCGGGGGAGAAGGGCCAGAGCCCAGGAGATCAGGGTGCCGGGGGAGAAGGGCCAGAGCCCAGGAGATCAGGGTGCCGGGGGAGAAGGGCCAGAGCCCAGGAGATCAGGGTGCCGGGGGAGAAGGGCCAGAGCCCAGGAGATCAGGGTGCCGGGGGAGAAGGGCCAGAGCCCAGGAGATCAGGGTGCCGGGGGAGAAGGGCCAGAGCCCAGGAGATCAGGGTGCCGGGGGAGAAGGGCCAGAGCCCAGGAGATCAGGGTGCCGGGGGAGAAGGGCCAGAGCCCAGGAGATCAGGGTGCCGGGGGAGAAGGGCCAGAGCCCAGGAGATCAGGGTGCCGGGGGAGAAGGGCCAGAGCCCAGGAGATCAGGGTGCCGGGGGAGAAGGGCCAGAGCCCAGGAGATCAGGGTGCCGGGGGAGAAGGGCCAGAGCCCAGGAGATCAGGGTGCCGGGGGAGAAGGGCCAGAGCCCAGGAGATCAGGGTGCCGGGGGAGAAGGGCCAGAGCCCAGGAGATCAGGGTGCCGGGGGAGAAGGGCCAGAGCCCAGGAGATCAGGGTGCCGGGGGAGAAGGGCCAGAGCCCAGGAGATCAGGGTGCCGGGGGAGAAGGGCCAGAGCCCAGGAGATCAGGGTGCCGGGGGAGAAGGGCCAGAGCCCAGGAGATCAGGGTGCCGGGGGAGAAGGGCCAGAGCCCAGGAGATCAGGGTGCCGGGGGAGAAGGGCCAGAGCCCAGGAGATCAGGGTGCCGGGGGAGAAGGGCCAGAGCCCAGGAGATCAGGGTGCCGGGGGAGAAGGGCCAGAGCCCAGGAGATCAGGGTGCCGGGGGAGAAGGGCCAGAGCCCAGGAGATCAGGGTGCCGGGGGAGAAGGGCCAGAGCCCAGGAGATCAGGGTGCCGGGGGAGAAGGGCCAGAGCCCAGGAGATCAGGGTGCCGGGGGAGAAGGGCCAGAGCCCAGGAGATCAGGGTGCCGGGGGAGAAGGGCCAGAGCCCAGGAGATCAGGGTGCCGGGGGAGAAGGGCCAGAGCCCAGGAGATCAGGGTGCCGGGGGAGAAGGGCCAGAGCCCAGGAGATCAGGGTGCCGGGGGAGAAGGGCCAGAGCCCAGGAGATCAGGGTGCCGGGGGAGAAGGGCCAGAGCCCAGGAGATCAGGGTGCCGGGGGAGAAGGGCCAGAGCCCAGGAGATCAGGGTGCCGGGGGAGAAGGGCCAGAGCCCAGGAGATCAGGGTGCCGGGGGAGAAGGGCCAGAGCCCAGGAGATCAGGGTGCCGGGGGAGAAGGGCCAGAGCCCAGGAGATCAGGGTGCCGGGGGAGAAGGGCCAGAGCCCAGGAGATCAGGGTGCCGGGGGAGAAGGGCCAGAGCCCAGGAGATCAGGGTGCCGGGGGAGAAGGGCCAGAGCCCAGGAGATCAGGGTGCCGGGGGAGAAGGGCCAGAGCCCAGGAGATCAGGGTGCCGGGGGAGAAGGGCCAGAGCCCAGGAGATCAGGGTGCCGGGGGAGAAGGGCCAGAGCCCAGGAGATCAGGGTGCCGGGGGAGAAGGGCCAGAGCCCAGGAGATCAGGGTGCCGGGGGAGAAGGGCCAGAGCCCAGGAGATCAGGGTGCCGGGGGAGAAGGGCCAGAGCCCAGGAGATCAGGGTGCCGGGGGAGAAGGGCCAGAGCCCAGGAGATCAGGGTGCCGGGGGAGAAGGGCCAGAGCCCAGGAGATCAGGGTGCCGGGGGAGAAGGGCCAGAGCCCAGGAGATCAGGGTGCCGGGGGAGAAGGGCCAGAGCCCAGGAGATCAGGGTGCCGGGGGAGAAGGGCCAGAGCCCAGGAGATCAGGGTGCCGGGGGAGAAGGGCCAGAGCCCAGGAGATCAGGGTGCCGGGGGAGAAGGGCCAGAGCCCAGGAGATCAGGGTGCCGGGGGAGAAGGGCCAGAGCCCAGGAGATCAGGGTGCCGGGGGAGAAGGGCCAGAGCCCAGGAGATCAGGGTGCCGGGGGAGAAGGGCCAGAGCCCAGGAGATCAGGGTGCCGGGGGAGAAGGGCCAGAGCCCAGGAGATCAGGGTGCCGGGGGAGAAGGGCCAGAGCCCAGGAGATCAGGGTGCCGGGGGAGAAGGGCCAGAGCCCAGGAGATCAGGGTGCCGGGGGAGAAGGGCCAGAGCCCAGGAGATCAGGGTGCCGGGGGAGAAGGGCCAGAGCCCAGGAGATCAGGGTGCCGGGGGAGAAGGGCCAGAGCCCAGGAGATCAGGGTGCCGGGGGAGAAGGGCCAGAGCCCAGGAGATCAGGGTGCCGGGGGAGAAGGGCCAGAGCCCAGGAGATCAGGGTGCCGGGGGAGAAGGGCCAGAGCCCAGGAGATCAGGGTGCCGGGGGAGAAGGGCCAGAGCCCAGGAGATCAGGGTGCCGGGGGAGAAGGGCCAGAGCCCAGGAGATCAGGGTGCCGGGGGAGAAGGGCCAGAGCCCAGGAGATCAGGGTGCCGGGGGAGAAGGGCCAGAGCCCAGGAGATCAGGGTGCCGGGGGAGAAGGGCCAGAGCCCAGGAGATCAGGGTGCCGGGGGAGAAGGGCCAGAGCCCAGGAGATCAGGGTGCCGGGGGAGAAGGGCCAGAGCCCAGGAGATCAGGGTGCCGGGGGAGAAGGGCCAGAGCCCAGGAGATCAGGGTGCCGGGGGAGAAGGGCCAGAGCCCAGGAGATCAGGGTGCCGGGGGAGAAGGGCCAGAGCCCAGGAGATCAGGGTGCCGGGGGAGAAGGGCCAGAGCCCAGGAGATCAGGGTGCCGGGGGAGAAGGGCCAGAGCCCAGGAGATCAGGGTGCCGGGGGAGAAGGGCCAGAGCCCAGGAGATCAGGGTGCCGGGGGAGAAGGGCCAGAGCCCAGGAGATCAGGGTGCCGGGGGAGAAGGGCCAGAGCCCAGGAGATCAGGGTGCCGGGGGAGAAGGGCCAGAGCCCAGGAGATCAGGGTGCCGGGGGAGAAGGGCCAGAGCCCAGGAGATCAGGGTGCCGGGGGAGAAGGGCCAGAGCCCAGGAGATCAGGGTGCCGGGGGAGAAGGGCCAGAGCCCAGGAGATCAGGGTGCCGGGGGAGAAGGGCCAGAGCCCAGGAGATCAGGGTGCCGGGGGAGAAGGGCCAGAGCCCAGGAGATCAGGGTGCCGGGGGAGAAGGGCCAGAGCCCAGGAGATCAGGGTGCCGGGGGAGAAGGGCCAGAGCCCAGGAGATCAGGGTGCCGGGGGAGAAGGGCCAGAGCCCAGGAGATCAGGGTGCCGGGGGAGAAGGGCCAGAGCCCAGGAGATCAGGGTGCCGGGGGAGAAGGGCCAGAGCCCAGGAGATCAGGGTGCCGGGGGAGAAGGGCCAGAGCCCAGGAGATCAGGGTGCCGGGGGAGAAGGGCCAGAGCCCAGGAGATCAGGGTGCCGGGGGAGAAGGGCCAGAGCCCAGGAGATCAGGGTGCCGGGGGAGAAGGGCCAGAGCCCAGGAGATCAGGGTGCCGGGGGAGAAGGGCCAGAGCCCAGGAGATCAGGGTGCCGGGGGAGAAGGGCCAGAGCCCAGGAGATCAGGGTGCCGGGGGAGAAGGGCCAG